TTTGCAGCGCGTTTCTTCATTTGCATGTGCTGTGAGGATTTGCAGCGGGTGTGTTGTCAAACTGATGAAGATGTTTTCTTAATTTGCTGGTGTTTTTTCAATTTGCATGTGTTTTCTTAAGTTGCAGCGCGTTGAGCTCTCTCGGCCACCGTACCTTTGCCACGTCACAAATTGTGACGTCAATTATCTATAGAGTTTTATTTTTATATTTGTTCATTCAATTTCTTGAATGCTCATGCTAAAATACACCTATTGTACCTTAAAATAAAGCACTGTTGTTTTATTTGTATAATGTGTATTTGTGACCCTGGACCACAAAACCAGTCATAAGGGTCAATTTTTCTTTCAATATTTAGGACAATATTTGGCCGAGATACAACTATTTGAAAATCTGGAATCTGAGGGTGCAAAAAAAAATAAAATATTGAGAAAATCGCCTTTAAAGTTGTCCAAATAAAGTTCTTAGCCATGCATATTACTAATAAAAAATTAAGGTTTAATATATTTACAGAAGGAAATGTACAAAATATCTTCATGGAACATGATCTTTACTTAATATCCTAATGATTTTTGGCATAAAAGAAAAATCAATAATTTTGACCCATACAATGTATTTTTGGCCATTGCTACAAATATACCCCAACGACTTAAAGAGCAGGTCATATGGTTTGTCATAAGTGTCCTAATATTGTGATGGAGTCCCCTACAACAGGTTTAAATGCATCTAAGGTCAGAAAACATTGTCATTTTCCCAGAATATTCATTTGTCCATGATTTCGAAACGGTTCGTTCGATTCAGTTCTGAGCAAAATGTCTGTAAACCCCTCACTTCCATAAGTCTACTCTGCTCTGATTGGTCAGCTGGCCAAGCCTGTTGTGATTGGCACAAAGAGGAGCGTTTGAGCAAGTTAGTGAGCGCTACCATCTGTGTTGGCAAGTCCGCAGTTGTTTTTGATGTCGTGGGTTGTAGCGACTCCAATTACGTCATATTTAGGCACTGGAATGTGAATTTACCAGGGGAACCCCGACTGAAAGCGTGTATTTTACACCCCAGAATGCGATTTTTAAAGGGGGACCACCCTCGAAACACAATTGGGCTAGTTTTGAGTAGCAATTGGACTGGTTTTGTTGTGGCAACCCTAGCATGCACCTTTACATAAAACAATATAGTTCTCCAATCAGTTCTTAAAATAATGACATAAAAACATTTTGTTTAACACTTATGCAAGCGAAAGTGCCCACAGCTGAAGTTTAGCTGCTAAACTGTAAACACATAACAAAACAATAATGGTGGATAGTACATTAGCCGAGTGCTAACGTGACTAACTGATGAAACAATACAGTTTGAAAACCAAAATATGTCTACTGTAATGTTTGAAGAACGACAGACAAAAGATGCTCTGTCTTAACTTTTAATCAGAACGCAGAACAGCTGTATCACAGGAGCACCAGCCTAACTAACTTGCTCGTCTCTCCTGCATTAACCGTATAACTGCCGGGGCAACTACATAAAAGGCACTTTCACAATGATTATAAAGTCTGCGCTACACTATATTCTTTATTATTAAACGAAGTAATTAGAACAACGTCAGTCTACATTAATCGACACATTCTTAGGAAATAGTGGGTTCACAGTGAATGATCAGAACTACTTCAGTAAGACCGTAATATCGTGCTTTACCTGGAAACCTAAAGCTGCACTAGGTATACATCACATATTAGCACAAAAACGTGATATTTTGAGCACGAAAATGTACACACAACTTACTTACAGGTTGTGCTTCGGAGAGCTTGTTAGTCCAAATAAAGAAGATTGGAAGCCAACGAAGATAAAAGCCAAGATTAGAGAAGCATAACAGGCAAAAGATTAGAAAATATGACGACTCACTAAGGCGATTCTAAGTCGACTCTTTCTTTTGAGAGACAATATCTTTATTTATCATGCACTTTTTTGATTAACAACTTTGCAGACTGTTTACATTAAAGGATAGCTACCTTACAAAAGGCAAAGAGATATTTTTCGAAAACCCATATGACCTGCTCTTTAAGACTGGTTTTGTGCTCCAGGGTCAAAATTTGAATGTTTATCTTTGTCATTATTTTATCTTTAAAAAAAATAAACCCAAAGATTTTTATCTTTGCCCACTTTGGCCTAAATATCTGCCATTCTTTTTTTATTTTTTGTTATACCTTGAAAGGCTTTGTCTTTATAATATGGGAATTAGCTGTAATGCTCAGACAACTTGCAAAATAGTAAAGACCAACATGACAAAGACTCGTGATAAAATCATGAATCGTGATATGATATTTTTGCCATATCGCCCACCCCTACTTCAGCCGCTTTGTCATTAAATATCCTCTCATGCTGTGGTTGTGCTTCTCTCTGTCCCTAATGTCTCCAGGAGTTCATGCCCCTGCCTCCAGAGGAGGAGAACGGAGAGAATGCTGCCAATGAAGAGCCCAAGCTGCAGTTCAGCTACGTGGAGTGTCTGCTCTTCAGCTTCCATCAGCTGGGCAAAAAACTACCTGACTTTCTCATCGACAAAATCAGCGCAGAGAAGTTGAAGGACTTCAAGATCAGGTCAGATCTCATATGAATCAAAAACAAAAACTTTCTATTTCAAATAACCTGGAACAAAATATTAAGCAGCACAACTGTTTGAGAATGCTGATAATAATTAGAAGAGATAACTGATGATAAAAAGAAATGTTTCTTGAGCAGCATATTAGAATGATTTCTGAAGGATCATGTGACTCTGAAGACTGGAGTAATGATGCTGAAAATTCAGCTTTGATCACAGAAAAAAATGAAATTTTGTGGTAACACTATTTTAAGGTGTCCTTGTTACACGTTACATGTACTTACTATTATAATAACAATCAATTATGCATAATTACATGCAAGTAACCCTAAGCCAAACCCTAAACCTAACCTTAACCATATAGTATGTACATGTAGTTAATTAATATTACTCCGTACTAGTGCTGTCAAACAATGAATCGCATCTAAAATAAAAGTTTTTGTTCACATAATAGATGTGTGTACTGTTTATTTATTATGTATATATAAATACACACACAGTGTATATTTTGAAAATATTTACATGTATATATTTATATTATATTTGATATTATATATAAATTTAAATTTTTTCTTAAATATATGAATGCGTGTGTTTGTATTTATATATACATTAGGGATGCACCGATATGAAAATTTTGGCCGATATATCGTGCATCCCTAATATACATAATAAATCTACACAGTACACATACATATATTGTGAACAAAAACTTTTATTTTGAATGCGATAAATCATTTGTCAGCACTACTCAGTACTTAAATGTATAATTACACTTTAACAAGGACACTTTAAAATAAAGTGTAACCCATTTTAAATCACATTAAAATAGAAAGCTGAATTTTAAAATTAATATTTTACAATACTTCTGTTTTTACTGTATTTTTGGCAAGACTAAGACTTTTAAATATCTTATTACATTGCTTTGTGAAGGGCAGATGAACAATGTGCATTAAATTTATACTTTTTTTGTTGATTTTCACAGGTTACAGTACTTTGCACGGGGGCTCCAAGTATATATTCGACAACTACGCCCCTTATGCCCTGATGTTCGTTTAACTTTTTTTTTTCCAAGATAAGTGAAATATTCCACGGAAATTGTCCTTTTAGAGTAGGATTGCCTTGACTTTTCAAACTATTACAAAATAATTTAAGGAACCAATCGTTTTCAAATATTGCTTGCATAGATTTGAGTTCACTTTTGATTTCAAACATTGTGCATGCTTAGTTTGTAGGAGATATTTAAATGTTTTTGATTGAAGGAAATCTGACATTTATGTATTACAGCTGTTGGTTTTCATTTCAAACCAGATTTTTCACCCACATTAAATATTTTTGCCGTTTTCAACACATTCTCATTGGTTGATTTGAATATGAATATTGGGTAAATATTTAGTCAATACCAAAGATGCCATGAATTTTGCATTTCACACATTCGCTACCAGCATTCATGTGCTTATGAAAAGTTAAACTGTAGTTCACATGGAAGAATCTCACCACTAGATGGCCATGCAAGTCCACAGTCTGCCACCAAGAAAGCAGATTTCCATTCAAAACATGACAGTTTAGGGACTTCTAATTGTGAAAGGCTATTTTAATCTACTTTTGTTTTCTAATCCCAATCTAATTCATAATAACATCGTTCTTCTAGTATTGTACTTTTAGCAATTATTGTTCATATCTCTTTTAACCCTAAAATACTTAGGCTTTATACATGCATCACAAATGAGATACAATTAGACAGTTATGTCAATAAAAACATTTTAATGATAACTTCGTGTGTGAGAGATTTTGCCTTCACTGTATCCCTTTAATGGTACAATCCGAAACAAAAATATCTTAAAAACCTAAAAATGTGAAACGTTTGTGTGAGGGTTAAGTTTAGGGGTAGAGTACGAGAAAAAAATTAATATTACCCTGACTTGATCACATAATGAGAGAAATCGGTTTCAACCATTCGACAATAACAAATATGATTCTACACATGATTAATTATGGCATTTGTGCTAGGTCAAATGAAATTACCGCCTCATGTGAGGTGTATAGCAAACGAAACATGACACAGACGGATTTTAGGGTTAAATCTGTCGAGTTTTTTTCCACATGTCAACAGGTGTGTCGTTCCGCGCTGTTCACTGAACGCTAGGTGGCGCTATCAGACCGCGCGGGAACGCAGCGCCGGTTGCTCGTGACTAGGTATTTCCCAAATCAGTCACTGTAGCTCCTCAGCTCCACACGCGCTCTCCGAAAGAGATAAAGTGCTTGAATAAGAAACCTCTTTATGGTACTGGTCGTGTCAAAGACGTGCTTTGCTTTTGGCGTTTAACAAGACCGGAACGATTAAAGAGCAGCACGACAACAGACGGGACGCAACAGTAGGCGTCTGATAGTGATCGGCTATTTTTGTAAGACGTGATAAATCGATGGACCAATCAAGAGGTGGGCAAATAGGCTGAAACAACAAGCGTGCGACATCAAACAATATGTTCATGGTACTGCAGTGGAAAACCACCACAACAAGTCGACTAATTAAGGTTCTTTGCATTAACGACTGTGCCACTTTAATACAGCCGGGTCACCTGAGGTTTCACAAGACTCTGTTGGGTTAAGTGAAAATCTTTGCTTTTTAGGACATCTTATTTAACAAAATACCGGAACCAAATCATTTTCATGACGTTATAGTTCCGGTATCCGTTTTTGAACGTGCATTTTTTTCCCGCCGATGCGAAGCTGTCAAATACTAGACACTGTTACATGCATTGCTATTAATTACCCACAACACCAATACTCATCGTAACATACAGCATAGTCCGATTCCTGAAGGAATTACTTTTAAGAGCCGTTTATGTTTTTATTTACAAAATATATAGCGCGAGCAGTGTAGTGCGATTTTCTAAAGATGGACTCAAATGAGTCGGTTCTTCTTAGGAAATCAGTGTAGACGGATTTCCAACTAAATGACTCGTATGAACCGATTATTTTAAGTGAATTAGCACTCAGCTTGACCAGTGTAGTCCGATTCCCGACTGAAAGACTTATGAATCAATTCATTTTAGATATTTATAAGCATACAGCATGATCAGTGTAGCCTGATTCTAGAGCAAATTACTCTTATAAACTGATTCTTTTTAGTAGGCCTAAATAAAAAAAAGCATACAGCGTGACCAGCGTAGTCCAATTCCTGAGCAAATGACTCTTATGAACCGATTTTTTAAAAGAATTAAAAGCATACAGCGTGACCAGCGTAGTCCAATTGAATGAAAGACTTATGAATCAATTCATTTTAGATATTTATAAGCATACAGCATGATCAGTGTAGCCTGATTCTAGAGCAAATTACTCTTATAAACTGATTCTTTTTAGTAGGCCTAAATAAAAAAAAAGCATACAGCGTGACCAGCGTAGTCCAATTCCTGAGCAAATGACTCTTATGAACCGATTTTTTAAAAGAATTAAAAGCATACAGCGTGACCAGCGTAGTCCAATTATTGAGCAAATTACTCTTTTGAACTGATTTTTTGAGAATTAAAAGCATATAGCGTGACCAGCGTAGTCCAATTCCTGAGCAAATTACTCTTATGAACCGATTTTTTTAGAGAGTTAAAAGCATGCAGCGTTACCAGCGTAGTCCAATTCCTGAGCAAATATAATTTCATAGTTAACCAAGAAAAATTATTCTTTTTAATAAATTAAAAGCATTTAGCTTGACCAGTATAGTCCAATTCTGGAGTGAATGACTCCTATGAATCAGTTCTCTTTAGTGAATTAAAAACATACAGCGTGACCAGTGTAGTCTGATTCCCAAGTGAATGCCTCTCATAAACCGATTCTTTTCGGTGAATAGAAAGTATACAGCATGACCAGTGTAGTCCAATTCCCAAACAAATGACTCTAATAAGGTTCTTTTTAGGGACCACTTATTAATGAATCAGTCAGAGCAGTTACTGAATAAACAGTAAGAGCTGTTACTGTTTTTATGTCGTAGTAACTGACTGGTTGTTCATCTATAGTTAAACAAAAAACATTTTGAGTATTGCATACAAATAAATATTTTTAACTTGCTTACATTTTTAATTTAACGTATGATTAGAACCAATTACTGTTTTGTATTTATTTACTGGTTATATTTTTTTATTTATGCCACCTCTTAAAAATCTGTACAATTCCAGCTTTTTCAAGAACTGCACTGAATTTATTTCTGATTTGTTATGTTTGTACTGATGAAATCAGTACATGATTGACATGACATGATCTCATCATTTGGCAACAGCCCAACCAAAGTGAGTAAACACGATAAGAATAGCATTTCTTATGTCAACATAATTTTCCTCCTTCAATGTTTCTGCTTCAAAAGTAGAAACATTAATGGAACAGTTAACGAATCATTCGTGAATCGGAATCATAACCAAAATGGTTCAGTTCCCAATAAAGCATGCATTCAACTAAATGCCATTCATTTGAACACATATTCGTTTGTTCGCAGCGTTGTTCTGCAGCAGAAGTCGAGTCGTCGCACCTTGCACAGACACGCGACACAAGTATGGCTGAAGAACTGCAAGAAAAGAACGCTATGCTCTTTTTCATGAAAGACTTCCATCCGCCCCCTCATGTACAATGCCTGGAATAGTAACAGCACTGCCAGGCTTACTAAATATAGCAACCAGTGAGTGTTAACATGTCAACTAGGAACCCAAAAGAAGTGTTTTCCACACGTGTGGCTGTTCTGGCTACACACAATGCTATAAATAGACTAATAGCCTATGCAACATGTCTTCAATACCTTATAACCCTCCATCAGTGTCGCTTAACCCTGCACATGTCCGCTGTCTTAAGTTATGTTAACCGTAAATACATTTTAATACCTTTCTCTCTTTCACGCAGGCTTGTTATGTAATGGGCTATGTATGTGAATGGAGACAAGAGGCTGGATGAAACGTGAAGGATCATGCGATGTGGCCAAAGCAGCAGCAGCTGAGAGATGCAAACAAGGCAGGACCCTTCGGGTTTTCGCTTGCACAAGTTAGTTATAATTTACAAATATATATTTACAAATAGCAAATAGCAAATTCTATTTGCTATTTGGTGCTTCCAGGAAGTTTCGGTCCCAACTAACTTTTGAATGGAAGAATAAATAAATTAGCAGAAGGGGGTAATGAATGAATAAATGGCGGCGAACTTTATGGATATGGTGAGGATGTGCACATGAAAGCCCGGTCTGACTTTCTTAACATGTTACGCAGGAGGAACATCATGTGACAGCTTGCCCGTTCATAAATATTCACCATCTCTATTCATGCAGACTCTTCTCTTGAGGTAGTCATTGTGCCTCGGCTCTGAACCATGTGATTCTGATGGGAGGGGGAGATTCTATAAATAGCTCTATAGCTCGGCTTCCATTGACATCATTTAGGCAGGAGAGACGGAAAAATAAACAGAGAGAAAGGGCTATAAGGGCGGAGATTCTTAATCTGAGCTTGAAATTCAAACAAACCCTCATCAATTTTGATTCCCCTCTCAACTCTCCAATAGAAACCACCGTGGCAGTGTCCGTTTCCTAGAACATCTACGTCTCTCCCCGTGGTGGAACAAAACTGAGGAGATAGGGAGGGAGGGAGGGAGGGAGGGAGGGAGGGATTGGGGGGAACATCAAACAAAGGAAAAAGAAGCATGTGACAGAAACCCAAAGCAAATATTTTGGATTATGTTATTAATGGGAACTGGAGGAAGATTATGGGCAAGACTGCCTATGTGTCAGTGTCTGTCAACAATAAAGATCGATGACATGCGGCCATCCCAGCAAATAAACTTCTGGACTCTGTAAATACTGAATCGTTCATGTCTCGTCTGATACTGATGGTTGAAGAACACATTAAACATCTGAGCAATGCAAAACTTGATGCTTGACAAACGTTGGGATTGTCATTCGTAAATATGATTCATTTAATGCAATTATTGGCTTTATGTGTAATGCACTGAGAGAAACCAGGGTGTTTCTTGGCCAGCACACGTAAGGGACCCAGGAAACCCATTTTGACCCCCAAATCATACATATGGTGTATGCCTTGTTTGGTCTATTAATTTTGACTTTTAATACCACCACTTGTGGCGCTCAATCACTATTCAGATAGTGGATCTGTATTTGAGACAGAGACTGTGCATCAGTCTTGAATTCTATTACATTTTATTATATATTATACATTATATATTTTATTATATCATATTAATAATATTATAATATTATTATAATTTACCATTATTGCAGTCTTTAACTTTTTATATATATATACACACACTATGGAGGGCCAAATTACTCAAAATTAAATCATTAAATAAATGTTGAAATATATAAATAAATCGATAAATACATAATTAATTACATAAATGCATAAATATTTGTTCATTTATATAAATATTTATGAATTTATTTATGTATTTAATTATGTGATTAAACGATTCTTTCATATATTTCAACATTTATTTAATTATTTCATTTTGTGTAATTTGGCCCTCCATTCCACATATTTTATAATATATCATTGAATAATATAATATAAATATATCTTTGTTATAATATATTATATTAGAATATTATAATATATTATTTTTCAATATTATAATATATAATTAAAATATTTTTAAATTGTATATTATACATTGTACATTTGATTATATCATTAATAATATTAATATGGTTTTTATTTTATTTAAAATATATTTTATTTTATTTATATATATATATATATATATATATATATATATATATATATATATATATATATATATATATTTATATATTT